TCTCAAATTCTAAAAAAAAACAAACCCCTTTCAAACCTTTACCTTTGTATTCTGCAGAAAGACAAAAAAAATTCCAAACTACAACTTCTATTAAGGTGTCATGTGCCACCCACGTATCATTTTTAATAAAAAAAATAACCTCAAAGGTTACTTCCACTTTTAACTTTGATACCCGCAAAGTTTTTCTTTAAACATATCCCAATGTTTGTATCATTTTTAACTTTACCTAAAGTTTGTTTTTGCCCAAGAAAAACCCCAACAATCAACAAAATTTAGCTTTGATACCCTAAAGTTTAACAGAAATTTATTTGATACCCAAAATGTTAACAAAATTTTAACTTTGATACCCTAAAGTTTAACAAAATTTAGCAAAAAAAATAAGTTTTTGGGTATCAAAGTTAATTATGTTAAAGTTTGGGTACCAAAGTTAAATTTTGTTGATCTTTGAGGTATTTTGCCCGCAAAATTAAGGAAATTTTGGGGTATCAAAGTTAAAAAGGAGGACAAGTTTAGGGTATTTTTTGGGCAAAAAGAAACATTAGGGTATCAAAGTTAAAAAAACAAGGTAAACGTTGGGGTATTTAAGTGCAAATAACCTTTTTTTTTTATTTTAAAGCTTGCTACCTAGCATCATTTGCACAGAATATACTGCAAAGAATGCTCCCATGAGACTTGCATGAGACCATGTTTTTAGACAGTTTTACCCTTCATTTGTAATCTGTCGATGTATTTATTCTTCCTTTTTCCTCCATCTTCATCGACCTATATGATACGAGTGTATCTTCTCTTCGGAACTTAGTGATCCTCATGGAAGCTTGAGGATAGCTGATTCTCATGGTAGCTTGAGAATAGAGGTGTAAAACAGCACAGTGGAACGCAGGTTGACGCGTGGAATGAGACGGCGAATCGAAGAATCGAAGCATCCAGATTTCAGCCCATGAGTCAACTCATAACAGTCATGAGTCGACTCATCAGGTTGAGTCGACTCATGCTTGTCATGAGTCGACTCACGAAACCCAGTCGTTTGTCATCAGTCTCTGACAAGTCGACTCATCTCATTCATAAGTCGACTCATTGCTGGTTTTGTGTTTTGTCCAGTTTCGGAGCAGTCGACTCATCTCAGTCGTGAGTCGACTCATCGAAGGTTTCCTGGTTCGTTTGGGTTTCTGTTTGCACGAATTCCTGTTAGGTTTGGGCTTGGGCTTGGTTATTTACCACTTTTTCATCCACGTTGTTACACCTATATAAGGGATTGTTTAGGGTTTCTAATCAATCAGAGGTAATCAAAGTGAGATTCTAATCAAGAGAGATTAGATTGTACTTGGAGAATTGAGAGAGATTGTTTTTCAATTCTAGTGAGATTGTTCTAATCAAGAGAGATTAGATTGTACTTGGAGAATTGAGAGAGATTGTTTTTCAATTCTAGTGAGATTGTAAGAGAGGGATTGTAATCTTTTCATACTCATAATCTAGAGGGTATTTTTCTTCGCCACATACTAAATTGTTCTTGTGTTTCTATCATCCTCTTCTCAACCTACATTTGATAATTCCGCGATTAAGGGTGCTCGCACGACGACTCGTATCAAGTTAGTATCAGAGCTATCAGATTTTGTGAAGGGGGCATCATGTGTATGGTCCTGACTCGATCGCAATACAAGAAGCTAGACGAGATCCTTATTTTATTAGGAGTCCAGAAATTAAGGAAGAAGAAGATGACTGAAGGAGATAGTTCAGCAAGGATAGATGCATTGGAGAAGCAGATGGAGACAATGGGTTCGACCCTCGTGCAACTCGTCAATCTTGTCCAAGAGATGCATTGGAGAAGCAGATGGAGACAATGGGTTCGACCCTCGTGCAACTCGTCAATCTTGTCCAAGACGAAGAAAACAAGGAGGAATCTTCTTCGAAATGCAAGAAGAAACTTGTGGAGTCCGATGGAGAAGGCGAGGATTCTGATTCAGATGAGGAGGCCCGTATTGTTAAGTCTGTTTCACACCAAGGGGGTAAGGGTTCTTACCAGAATTTGAAGATAGACTTCAAAGTAGAAATTCATGTGTATGACGAGAGTGTCAACGTCGAGAGGTTTGATGATTGGATCGAGCGGATGGAGATCTATTTCACACTCTACGGATATTCATCCAAGGAGAAGCTCATGTTCGCGACTTTGAAGCTTTCGGGACATACATTGACATGGTGGAAATTCTATTGCAAGCAGGAGAAGAAGACGGTGTCGTGGAACAAGTTCAAAGAACTACTTAGGAAATAATTCTATTCGGTAGGGTTCCTCGAAGAGCGTTGGTACAAATGGTACGGCTTACGCCAAAGAATTAATCAAACCGTTCAAGAATACACCACGGAGTTCCAGCAGCAGGCGATGGTCCTCAACATTGCGATAGAGGAATATTCTGTTTTTATGAAGTATATGGCGGGATTGAGCGATTACATCCGGAAGGAGATGAAATTATTCACGATCGAGACTATTACAGAGACGAGCGTGAAGGCTATTGCTATTGAGGGCAAGCAGAAGAATAACAACGAGACTAAGGGAGACTCCAAACAGACGGGAGACGAGTCTAGTGGTTCCAAATATAAGGAGGAGAAGAAGGGTGATCCAGGGAAAGCAGAACTGATTTGTAGTCACTGCGAGAAGACATGACATGTTGATGATCGGTGTTGGGAGAAGTATCATCATCTCAAGCCAAGAGGATTGAAGAAAAAAGAGGAGAAAAATGCATATATGATAGCTTAAGGTCCGAAAGAAGTCCCGGGGATGACAGAGCCCAACAACAGTCTCAATCTTATGGTGGGGAAACAGATCACGAAAGAGGACGAAGACCCTCGAGAGCAGCTCTTTGTACTGAAGTTGTAAGTGAAGACAAGTTTGGTTGATGCCATAGTTGATCCGGACAGCGAGAAGAATTTGATATCCGGGGCCTTGGTTCAAAAGCTGGGTCTGAAGACGGTCAAGCATCCGAAACCCTATCCATTGGGATGGATTCAGAAGAAGGAGAGACTGGGTGTAGTTGATCAATGCACTGTCAGATTTGCGTTCCACGAGTCGTATATTGACGAGGTCACGTGCGACGTAGTTCCATTTGATGTTTGTCAGATTATACTGGGCAATCTGTACTTATGGGATAGATATACGATCTACGAGAGGCGGACTCAGAAGTATACATTCATCAAAGATGATGAAAAGTTTATATTTCGTTCGGCGTCTCTTCCGAGGGAGACAAGCTTGGGGACGGCGACGCGAGCGAAGAGGCTAGTGAATGCAAGCAAGAAGTTTGTCTCGCTATGCATTAGACTTTCAGAAAAGCCATTGAAAGAGGAATGCATGTTGGAGCGGAAGACGACTACGACAAGGCAAGGAGCGAAGGAGTCGTTTTCAGTTGTACATCGCTATCAAGTTCCTAGCAAGGTCAGGTGGTGCAGAAAAGATAGAGCTCGGGAGTTTCCTCAGCTGAAGTTCTAACTTGAACGGGACTTCAAGATCCTAAAGGGTGGACCCATGATACGGGTGTATTTTCTCTTCGGAACTTAGTGATCCTCATGGGAGCTTGAGGATAGCTGATTCTCATGGTAGCTTGAGAATAGAGGTGTAAAACAGCACAGTGGAACGCAGGTTGAAGCGTGGAATGAGACGGCGAATCGAAGAATCGAAGCATCCAGTTTTCAGCCCGTGAGTCGACTCATAATAGTCATGAGTCGACTCATCAGGTTGAGTCGACTCATGCCTGTCATGAGTCGACTCACGAAACCCAGCCGTTTGTCATCAGTCTCTGACGAGTCGACTCATCTCAGTCATGAGTCGAGTCATTGCTGGTTTTGTGTTTTGTCCAGTTTCGGAGGAGTCGACTCATCTCAGTCGTGAGTCGACTCATCGAAGGTTTCTTGGTTCGTTTGGGTTTCTGTTTGCACGAATTCCTGTTGGGTTTGGGCTTGGTTATTTATCATTTTGTCATCCACGTTGTTACACCTATATAAGGGATTGTTTAGGATTTCTAATCAATCAGAGGTAATCAAAGTGAGATTCTAATCAAGAGAGATTAGATTGTACTTGGAGAATTGAGAGAGATTGTTTTTCAATTCTAGTGAGATTGTGAGAGAGGGATTGTAATCTTTTCATACTCATAATCTAGAGAGGGTATTTTCCTTCATCACATACTGAATTGTTCTTGTGTTTCTGTCATCCTCTTCTCACCCCACCTTTGATAATTCCACGATCAAAGGTGCTCGCACGGCGACTCGTATCATTGTAGACATGCTAAAATCGACCCATGGGCATGCTAAATATAAACTTATAAAATTCGAAAGAAAATCAAATTAAAACCAAGGAAATAAAACTAGAATCAAGAAACAACAAAAATCAAATTAAAACTAAGGAAATAAAACTAGAATCAAGAAACAACAAAGAATCCATCTTAATGTCTCAAGAAGGAGAATTATATATCAGAAAGGAAAAAGCTTATTATTTATCTCTCAATAACCAAGTTATGTACTATAATTCATTCTTGATTTTCTTCTCCTTTGATAGACAGCGTTTTGAGCCTTTTATGTGCTGATTTTCATACTTGACCAGCTTTTGCTTCTTGGTGATCGAGTGGAAGAAGCATTTAAGGAACTTGAGACTTCATGCCATAACGTTGATTCAGCACTACCTTTCAGGTTCTTCAAGCATACTGTAGTGCAAATATAAGATTTTATGTTAACTCATTTGATGCCTATGTTTATCTTTGTTTTCATATGTTCATATTCTTTTTTAATTAATAAAGATCTGTAACTGCAATAAGTAACTGGTCTATGAACACTTAAGTATTTACTTCAGCATGTTCTTTTAACTATAATTCTTGCCTCAATTAAACATCTATGCTCTTTAGTCAAACAACTTGTCCTCTCTTCCCGCTGCAGCCCTTCCTTTTCATTTACCAATCTAATGCAAAATATGTATGTTGTTGCTGTGGTATTGTTTCTCTTCAATGAGGAGATAGCCATGTTTTTATCCTATGCATTTGATGTAGGGCATACTTACTTTCAATGTCTGTTAATTTTCTGTTTCTTTTTTAAATGTATCCTTCTCCTGCTTTATATATTTTTCTGCATATTGTTGCATCAATAGGGTCTTTATTATAAGTGGCTGATATATATTGTTAGCCTATAACCCAGCAATTTATGCATTTGAATAAAGTGGTTATCTAACATGGTATTAGAGTATGAAGTTTCAAGAGTCTTTTGAGTTCAAGCCTCACCGTCCACACTCACCCACTCACTATGTCCCTATATTTCTACGTTTCTGAGTGAGTTATCTGACTCATCTCTCATTGAGGCTTTTCTTTGTTGCCTGAAATCCAACTGTGAGTGTTTGCTCGAGTCTTGAGATTTTTTTGATATTCTTTTAATCCATGGCCATCTGCTTAAGCTTTTGAGTAAACTGACCACCTTACGCTCTCAATCCATAGTTCATTATGGAAAGATCATGCTATCTTTTATCATGTCGTTTTACATCACGTTATCAGAAAACGATCATGTTATCAGTTTATGTGTTTCATCTTAGTCTTTTTTTTAATTGACAAAATGTGTGCTTTTTGAGTTGTTTCATTTTGTTTCACTCATTTCCGTTTTCAAACTGAAAAGTTGATCTGGTTTTCTGAACTTGATAGTTATTTCATATTTCAGGCTAATGGCTAGATTACTGGAGTGTTTTCAGAGAAATAAGATCACCATGATCTGTAGCTACTATGAGAATGCTTTGAAGAGGGATCCTATCTGTTACCTGTCTCTGGAAAGGCTAGTAAAGATGCACAAATCCGGTTTGTATCACCTTAGAAATTACAGCTTGAAATTTTGATAGTAAAGCTGAAATATATCTAGAGTGTGATCAATTCATTACTTATATTTGGTACAGTAGTGCAGAACAGCAATGATTATTACAGTAGATACTCTATACAATAGAAGGGGGGAAAATCTCTACAGATAGATCCACACATACTCCTGAGTAGTTTTTTCCCCCTACAACTGGTCTATATTGTCTCAAACTTTGAACTCGAACAAGGTGGGAGATCTTTGTTGAAGCTTTTTCTTGGATTATCTGATGTCAATCTGATGAGAAAGGGTTACACCAATGTCGCTTGGCATTTAAGCTTCATCTTGGATTTTATATTGGTTCCTAACCTCTAATGGATCCTGGTTATGCCTGCTTCTTAGAGCATAGTAATATCTCAGTTATAACATTTGTACTTCCAGATATAGAACAGCATGTGTTTTAAGTTATCAACGTTAGTTGTTATTAGAAGAGGGGACATTTACTGATTTTTCAGCATGACAACCTACAGCCATCTAGCTATTGAGAAGCTGATAAGAAACCACAGGATGTTGATAGGACCTCGATCGTCTTGCTTATTCATTTAGCTAATACCTCACATGAGTTCCTTTTTTCAGGGTGGTTCAAAATTATTCATTGTTCCTACAAATTTAGACTTATTAAAAGTGTCATACAATCAGACACTTTGATGATGTACCCTTGGTGACAATACATTGATGTCGCAGGTATAATATCATGGTGATCCAACATTCAAATAGGATCTAATCATTAGATGTGAAACAAAGAGTGTAGAATTTATATTTTGAATTATTATTGTGAAAATATGAACCATAGTAACTTTCCATATTGTGTAGCCTTTGTTAGAGAAATTCAAATATGAACTTGGATACAACAGGACAAGAATGTATGCAAACTCTCAACAACTCGGTATAGATATGCCATGGAAATGAAAATGTGTACATAAAGAATTAAGGCAAGACATGACAAATGGCACAGTTACATTAGAAGCTCAATATTAAAAACCACAATATTGTTCATTATCAAATAAAAGATAGAGTAAAGCAGATCAACACCCAAAATGATAGCATAGTCGTATTTGTCCATATAAAATAGGAAGGATAAACCTAACCAGTTGTGCCAGAGCAGTGTTTAGAGACCAAAATTGTTACGTAACATTACATTCCAACTTCAGTAAGATTGCATTGTAGACAGTGATTCACAGAAAAAAGTACCATTCCATAATGCAGTTGCTTTTCAGGAAATTACAGTACATTGATGATGTTTGAGATGATAGCTTTGCATCTTGATGCTGCTGATGGGCAATGTAGCATTTGGGAGGAATTTGCATCGTGTTTCCTTCAATTCCAAATAGTTGTACAATCTGAATATGAAGATTGCACTTCAAAGAATCTAGAAAGAGGAGGGACAAAAACTGTCTCTTCCAGCAAATTCCCTGCAGCTCTTGCAAGGGAAAATGGTTCATGGAAGCTTCGGTTTGAGTGGTGGAAAAGGCGACATTTCAGAAGTTCGTCTTTGCAAGAAAACGCCAGTGAGTAGACAGCTCTCTTTTGATCTTTTACTAATAAAATTAACATGTATTATGTACTCACAAGGGCCAAAAAAGTTTAAATGAATATTGTAGTCAATTGGCGATAAGCACACTCTTTATTTATAATGCAACCACGGAAGGTGATTAGCTTGGTGCTAGCCAACACATATTACCCATGATTTTACTACTTTGCCCTTGGATGCACTCGCATATTCAAAAAGTTATTTCCTTGCAGGTTCCGTGGCCTATGAGCAAGTCAAAATACTGCCAAAGTTCATTTGCTTTATCGATATTTTCTTCTAGTGTTTATGTTGTCACAATCTCAAACTGTGGGTAGAATATGAAATATGTACAAATATACGACAACCACCACCACCACCACCAAGGCTTTGTTCCAAATTTTGGGGGTCAGCTTCCTGAATCCTAATCTTCCTTTCATTTCTGTTATTGGTCATGTCCTCCATTAACTATTATCATATTACATATGTTACCAAATTTGTACATACCTAAATAAGCCTGAGCCTCAATACTCAGAAGTTTGGTAGTTGGTCCGTATAGATGCTGGTCCAAATGGTATGGAAGTTTTTCTTCAAATTTTTACATCGCGCTGTTGAAACCCGAGACCCTACTGTGTAAAGAAGGATTTACCTTATCTTTATGATTAGTTCTTTTATTGTGTGTCTTGAATTATTGAGAGTAGTTGCTTGTCTTTCCACGACAAGTTCAAGTTAACCGAGTGAGGAAGTGATTACCTTGCGAATAAATTATACGTTTTTTTTTTAAACAACATCATAGGCTAAACAGTACATTTGTGTGCTTGCATCAGGTGACTCGAAGCTATTATGTTTTAAGGCGGCATGTGCTTCTCACATTTATGGCCCGATGCACGAGTACGTAGTCAGAGTGTTTAATATCTTGAAAAAGGAGGACGACGACGAGCATTGCTTAATCCTCAACACTCACATCCAGCAGTCCATGGACCTACTTAAATATTTGTGAAGATGATGATAATATGGAATCTGGTTCAGAGGAGATGGCTTCCTTGTTCCATCGACAAATGTAGAGTCCGTTTCGAATACTGATTTTTCGTTTAAAAAAAATGGGGGGAGGGAATCGATCAGGAAAATGTAAATTTCATGAGATTTTGCAGGCTTCTTTATATGTGGAGCTGATCCTTTTAATTGATCCCTATTTTTCTTTTCTTTTTTAATTTAGGAGATTCCCTGTGTTTAAAATGTGTGATGCCCTGTTATTTGCTCTCATTTACCCATGTTTTCAATCTAGGGTTGACTGCTGCAGATAGACCCTTTTTTTTTAACATACTGCCCCAGTAGTTTTGTTTTCGCATATAGGTTATTGAGTGTTTTTTTTAACTCTTTTATCCTCAGGGGATGTATTTGTTAAAAACATTTTTTTTTCTATTTGAAGATAGAAGAGTCTAAAACATCTTAACTCAGGGAGTCTATATGTGTATAATATCTTTTTGGTAAGAAATATTATATCATAGTTAGTAAGATACATTAATATTATCACCAAAATAAGTTTTTTTACCAAAATAAGATTTTCAATGAAGTTAAATGAAAAAAATAATTAAGTAAGCTTCTTGGATATTATGTAAACATAAATATTACAATCATAAATTTTTCCATCCTTTTGATCTTTCGGCATCACTTCTCATCTAATTCTCAGTTCGATATTGATCTTTCAGCACCAGTTCTTCTCTCCAACTCCTTACTGCTGAGGAGTTGGGGAAAGTACAGCTGTTCATTCGTGAATGAAGCGAACTGTTGCTGGAGAGATTGAGCAATCCTTGTGGTGGATTCATCCAATTGGACTTGAGTGACCTAGCCGGAGTTGGATGTTTCTGCATAGTTTGGAACCGAAAATCAGTCATCTTCTCAAAAGGAGAAGATGAGCCTCCACTGTGGACGCCAAACTGTTTATGTCAGGAAGTTGATTACTTTGGCCCAAAGAGTTATGATGATTCTGACTCAACATTAAATGTGCAACTATTGAAGTTGATATGTTATCTTGTCATCCCCTAGCGAACCCAAGTAGTAGACGCCTTTCGTCTCGAAGTCGGGTCAAATAGGAGATCGGCGAGGCATATATCCAGGTCGTGCTTTTAGATTTGTGGGACTTGGTCAATTAATCATGACATGCTGACTATTACCCTTAGTAATTTTCAAGATATAACAATTTCTATAACAATCAGAAAAATTGAGCATGACAAGTCCATCAGGACCTAACATGGCATCGTTGGATATAGAGCAATCAGGGCTTTTTTCTCTCTCTCTCTCTCTGCGGAGAAATGAAGACACCTAAAAAGATTAAAACGCGAAGTGCGCTTGGAGGAAAAAAAAAACTCATAAAAAAATGATGTGGAAGGAAAAGAGGCGGATAGAATAAAACCACAGAAAACAAATTCCGTGAAATTAAAAGGATGGGGGTGTTTTTACCATAAAATCTTAATAACCGTACATAACTAATACCCGTGAAGATGAGTTAAGAAAGTGGGTCTTGACTATTTTCAAATAGTATCTAATACTTAGAAATTTTCACGGCATGTGCACGTGTAGTTTAAAGTTTTTAAGCTATTTCTTTTTACTTACAATTTATTCATGGCTCAAAAGCACTCGTATACCCTATTGTTTCGACTTTTCACTTATATACTCCAACTTGTATTTGACAGCAAAAAGTACACCGGAAATTTTTAAACTTGCACTTACATACCCTCACTTTTCTTAGTGGCACTTAAATACCCTGATGTTTTTACAACTAGAACTTAAATACCCTAAAGTTTTTCCGACATGCACATTAATACCCTCGATTATGTAAATTTGAGGGTATTTAAGTGCAAGTTTTAAGAGCTTTAGAGTATTTAAGTATCGGATTTAAAAACTTCATGGTATTTCAATCCAACTTTTAATAACTTTAGGGTATTTAAGTGTCACTAAAAAAGAGTGAATGTATGTAAGTACAAGTTTTAAAAATTTTAGGATATTTTCTTATAACCAAACTAGTGTGAACACCATGCGTCATATTTTTTTCTCGCTACAGTAATCCCGGGTTTAACTACCATAGTATTTTTTTTTTTTGAATTTTTATATTACTACAATATCCCACCTCTGCTACAGTACTCTGTGCGCTACAGCATTTTTTTCCAAAAACTACAATGTACAGTTTTATGCTTGCTACAGTATTACTACTATAATAAATAATACTATAGTATTTACTATAACATGAATAGTGAATATTGGGTTCTCCGAGTTGTAAAGAGGAGTAGATACAAGTGAGGGTAAATAAGTGAAAAGTAGATAACTCAACAAGGTAAATAAGTGCTATTTATAACCTTTACTCAACCAATCCACTAAAAGAGAGTGGGCGTGTGGAACAATACTTTATTGCAATACATCCACATTTTTATTTTAACTACAAAACAAACAAACAATAACATGCATGAGAAACAACAACAACAACAACAACGGCAACATTACAACATGCTTGGTGACCCAGCAACATAATTTCTTCTTAAGCAAATGCTATTTATATAAAGGATGAGCAGCAACCCCCCCGCTCTTGGGAAAAACCAAACGAACCGACGGGAAAATGTTTATGGAAAATGCAAGGTACTAAAGCCCTACGATTGCACCATCGTCGACGATTTTAGTCTATCTTGTTTCGTCTTCTAGGTTTCTGAATCCAACGGTGAGATCATCGTATAATTTGCTGGAACCTGTTGCAGCGTGCGCTGCTGCTCTTCGGCAGGCATCTGTTCAAATTTTTCTGGCGACTCTGCGAATGTTCGAATTGATATCGATGGTCTATTTTTGTGGATTTTTTTTTTTTTTTGAATTAAAATCAGTGTTGGAACGAATAAATTGCAATCATAATCAAAACCGTGGTCCCATCAAAGTAGAAGAATTCGTTAACTTACACAAGGCGGTAAAAAAGATCGCCCAATCGATGCTTGATGACACTGTATGTTATCTTCTGGCCATCAGAACCGGCTCCTCGCTCAACAGCCTGCAACATATCCATCAAGTTAAATAATTTGGTCGTGCCACGTCAACGATCCAAGAAATGAGGAAGATTGTGAAGAACAGTCTAGCAAGTTTTTCGTCTCTATATTCCTTTTTTTTTCCTCCCCCACCCCCTCCTCTTGCTTGTTATTACGAGCAAACCAAGTTAAGGGTGATTATTACAACAATCAGAATACTCCATAATCCTTGACATGTATAGTTGTTTGCATTGGAGGTATGCTTGCCAGAACCTCTAATAAACCAAGTTCCAGCATGGGAAGGAAAATTTGACTTCCAAAGAAAATTAGCAAAAAATAAAATTTCTATATTTTGAAATAATTTGGAGAACCGACTCTGACAAATAAACCCAGAGGGAAAACAGAGGTATACTAAACAAAAGAAAAAAAGGATTTACCTGGTTTGCCAAAGCACTGAAATGGATAATATTGCGCATCATCCAGACTGACTTGTAGAATGGGCAGAATTTGTCATAACTGTAGAGCATTTATCCATGGTGAGAAGAGCAGAAAAAAAAATTACTATAATAAAGTTCAAACAGTAATGAGCTGCAATGAAACCAACAAATAAACATTAACACTTACGGAGTGAAGGCATTCTGGGCAAGATAATCCTCCCTCAGGAGCTTTGCAGTTTCTAAAATAATTTTGTCAGTTTCGGCTAAAGCATCTTTACCGACAAGCTGCAGTGCAAGAGATTTATAATAACAATCAGTCCGAGATGGAACTCAACTAAAATATCCAAAACCACTTATTTTAACTTTTGCTCGACACGTATGTATGCAACTTTAGTAGGTATATTGTTTATAACAATTATTTGGACACCATGTCATATTCAGTAGGCATCACACCTTACAAAAGTCATTTTTCACTCAAAAATGACTATTGTATGTTTTTGTAGGAGGCACTTTAAAAAACAAAAAAAAAAGGAAAGACCAAAATAAAGCCAATCCAGCTTTATAATAGTTAGTTTTAAAAGGTCTTCGCTTCGATAAGTCATAGTTATGTGTGGAGGGAGGGGGTGATGCAAGACAAATCAGATCTATGAATTTTAAGGATTTTATATTTTTTATCAGTTGAGATATTTTGTTAGGATGAAGTTATTATATTTAGTTATTGGAGTTGTTATTTTGTTAGGATCTTTATGTGTTGTTATCGATTTGTTAGGATTTTACTTGTTATTAGGGTTTTCTTTAGTTAAGGTTGTATTTTTTTTCCAATTGGGGAGATGAAAATTGATGAACAAAATTTGAGATTTAAGAGATGATTTTGGAATGATTCCATTAGCGTGAAGCCATTTTTTTTATTAGGCATTCGTGTGAAACCAATCTTTTTCATTGTTTTCAGAGATTAGATGCTATGAGTGAATTTGGTCTAACATATTTATCTTTCTTTATTTAGTCTTTTAATACTTTAAATTTTTTAAAAAGAGAAAAATTAATGTTTAAGAGTATTGTTCACACCCGCCCCCAAAAAAAAAAAAAATTATTCGTCATCACCTTCGTTTGGCATCAGGGGGTCACGAGGGCACGTGCAACCCCCCACCCACCCCGCCTCCTTAAAAACCTCGCTGGAGAGCAAATTTTGGAGGTATAGTGCATTGTAATACCATATAGCAATGATTATGAGCATTGTTTGGAATATCCTCGATATAGCCCAATATATCGGCGCCGATATATCCTTTTATAAGGTTTGCCACAAAATGATATCGTCTCAATATCGTTTGCCGCTTTTGGCTACTTTAGAGTGATATCCCTGACATGACCGATATATTAGCCGAGATGTTGTCCAATATATCTGTTTATATCGACTTGTCGATAGACAATAAAGTTCAGCAAAATTTCTTTAATGTTTTTTTAAGCAAAAATTCCAACCTAAGTTTTTCAACAGAATTCTAGTAAACTCTTTTCCCTAATTTTCTACAATTAGTTAGTGATCCTAAACATACATTGTTTACATTTTTATATGCTTAGATTTTATTACGTGTATTTCGATCATATTTTAGGACATTATATTATATATACACATCATATGATACGACACTCCGATATTTAATACGTATCACTATTATTTCCCTAATATCCGCAATCCGATATGAATTTTGGTGGTCTAATATTTCCCCAATATCTAATACTTAAAACATTGATTATAAGATTTTTTTTTTAATTGACAAAATAGTCCTGGTTCTCTTCAAATAATATGCTTTTGGGGTTTTGATCCTGTAATTCCTATTCTTATGGAAACTCATGTGGGCTTTCCATCTATGGTTATCACATTTATTTCTCATAAACTCCTAGGGCCTCGTTTATTCTATATACTAACAATTATGACTGAATTGTTCTATAAGAAGAAATGAAAAATAAAGTAATACCTTATAAAACATTAAAGTACATATCTTGCAAAAACATATTATAATAAATCTTAAAACTACTAGTTATAAAATGTCACGCAGGTGCAGTATAATGTATCATATAATCGGAAAGGAAAATATGCAACAATCTCAAAGAAATGGTAAATCGTTAGGTTTGTAATTGTCCCTAATTGTCATTTTCAAACTTAATTTATTTACTTTTTTATGGTTAGTTATATTAATTTTGACTATACCTTTCGAGTTGAGAGTACTCTTTTTCTTTTTATAAACAATCATTTTGTATATATGTTAGGCCGGGGTTTTAGCATTTGAGACCCTATCTTTTCTCTCAAAAAAATCTTGATAACATTGAATGTAATTATTAATATAATATTTTTAAATTATTTTTTTAAGAATAAGCAGGTATTGGGATGATTTTCGTAAAATCGGATATCAAGGAAACGTGGTGGAAAGGGAACATCCACAACATCTATTTGGAGGGATTTGATACTACAGTGAAACACTGCCACTTCATCTTTTTGGGTGACACATAACCCTTTCCCGTCATGCAAACAAGGTAAAACTTAAAACTAGAGAGTCGAGCTCAAAACCCCTCCACTTTACCTGATTTCCCTCAAAGATAATTGCAATGAAACTACAATGCCCCCACCCCCCCCCCACCCCACCCCCCCCCCCAAAAAAAAAGAACAAAAACAAAAAATGCACCCGTTTCTAGCTACGCCACTGGTCACAGACAATTGACATTTTGCATCTTCTTTTGTCGATATTTTTGGGTGTTCGTTATTGTTTAGTTATATATTTTACCAAGCTGAAACCATCTATCTGACAAGTAGACAGAAAGAAGTAAAACTATAGGACGAAATTCATATGGAAGGAAGTCTCTTAGCCATCCATAATTTTGGTTTACACAGTTCGTTATAATTAACTGTAACCTATTTTCTGATGGAATGTTACAAATCCTAGCATTAATTCTCGGATAAAAACCATGAATATGAGCACAAAACACTTTTCTGAACAAGTTCTGACATAAAAATTGGATAACACCAGAACTCCCAAGAACTCCATCTAATCAATTTCCTGAAGTACGTGTGGATTTCAGTTTCTTTTAAGCCAACCCAGTCAAAAATAAGAAACGTAAAGATCAGAAGGCAGCTAATGAACAATTGAACGTTATAAAAGAGACAAGAAAACAAGTAGCAGTTTTAATTGGGGAGCAAGTGTACCTGCACGATTTCATTCAAGTCATCTTCTCTCTGAAGGACCTCACGAGCCTTCGTTCTGATGTCAATAAAATCCGGATCAAATTTCTCATAGAAAGATTCCAGCGCCTGTAAATAAAGAAATCATGTCAGAAACAAGAAAAGGCAAATCAGTTTTCAGAAAAAATATATGGATGAAGAGTTAGACCTTGCCAGCTAGGTGCTCAGCAGAAGCCACAGTATTTATAAATTTATTAAGAAGGATGCAAAGTCCGAAATTTTGAGTTTTCAACAGTGGAGAACTACATGAATTTCTGAAAACGTTGCTCATCATGAATCTGACTTCAAAAATGTTACAGTTGGAGCTCATTCAATCAGATCAGCTTGAAAAAGTGGAGCTCAAATACCAGTTGGAGAATGATCCATCATTAAACCTTTCTTAGCTATTTTATGCTTAATTTTCTTGGCAGTTCCCGTGAAACTTTTAATAATACGATTGCATAAATAATTATGAACCAAGTCTCTTTTCTTCAGAAAGATATAAGAAGCAACTATGGCATTATCATTTTCTGCATAAAAATTGAAAAGCGCAAGAACAAACCTTAGAGTACTTTGAATAAGATATAAGCCAATTCACTGATGGGAAATGCTTCCTCTGAGCTAGCTTCTTATCCAGTCCCCAAAACACCTGCACGAGGCATAGATGATACGTGACTGATGACGACAAAAGTGAGCAATATTCTTTGTAAAAGGGGCACACAGTTTTAGCTTTTACCTGAACAATACTAAGGGTTGCAGAAGTTACTGGGTCTGAAAAATCACCTCCTGGAGGAGAAACAGCACCAACAATTGTGACACTACCAGTCCGGTCTGGACCACCAAGACATTTCACTTTACCAGCACGCTCATAGAAGGAGGCTAAACGTGATGCCAGATATGCAGGATAACCACTGTCTGCAGGCATTTCCGCCTGAAATAATCAACATTGATCAAGAAGTGCCATGTGCCAGACTTGATGTACTCAATTCTCATATCGAATATGTAAACAAGAAAATATAGAAGTAACATAAAAAATATATAGGTAGCAAAAGTATGATGAAAAATAGAATGGAAGTCAAAAACAGTTAAGAAAAAATTTGTTAGCGGATAAAATAATCTGTAGAAAATTGGGTTAAACAAGACAACTATATTTGAAAGTCAGCTTCCTTTTCCAATTTTCCACATTGGATAAAGTGATAAACCTTTGGATCCTATCTTGAATGACTACTAACTAAGCAAAGGGAAAAGGCAAATACAATCCACTTTTCAGTTTCTAATCATCATTCGAATCCAAAGGAACCAAGAAAATGAGAAGGAAAAGCACCATTAACATATGTTACATTGTTACATATGTACACGTTTCGAGTTTTTTTTACACATAGATAACTTAAGATTTAAGAATTCCTCTTATCAAGTACATATTAATCACCATTGCGACCTATCTCAGAGGTAAAGGGGTTGTGAAGAAGGTCCTACTTTAAAACCAGGCTATCTGTGACCTTTACTCAGGAAAAGGTATGTATTAATCAAACAAAGGACAAAGATGATTGAATGCATCATGGTGTTTTTTCACTTGTAGGCATATTTACCCATTTTCATTTAACAAAATTAGCATATAGAATGAGATAGGCCAAATAAGTACCAATCGGCCAGATATTTCACGCAGAGCCTCGGCCCAACGGGAGGTAGAATCAGCCATCATGCTCACGTTGTACCCCATATCCCTGAAGTACTCAGCTATTGTGATACCTGAATATTAAAGAATAGCTAGAGTAAGTGGTCTTTGAAGACATATGACAGAATTGAATAGCTAGGCAATAGAGTAACAATTTAAAAAACAACATATAAACTGGAGGCTATGCATCTTTAGAAGAGTGTCACCTTAAAAGCAAAATTCCTTAGATAAAAATAATTACCATAGTAGCAAAAAGAATGTTGTATGGTTCCTTCACGTTTCATTTGTATGGGAATACAAACAAATCAAGGTGGCAATATAATAATTTGGATTGTTCTTTTTTGTTATGTTTTGCATGGGAGTTTCTTTCCTCCAGGCATCTGCCCAACATCACTATGAATGCATGAATGTGAGAATGCAATTACCTGCAGAAGTCAGCATCTTTATCATGCTCCTATAGATTAATTCTCGATCTAATATAAATTCGGAGGGAAAGCTCCTTGTTTGAATGAGCTAAAATGACATAAACAACAGGATATGGTTTGAATTAGCCAATGTGTTGTCAGGCCCGCACTTGTCCATAATTTTGGGAAGACCGAAACCATAATCATTGGACCCACTATGTAGCGTGTACCGTGTAACTATGCTTGAAAATGAATGTTAGTTAGGGCATCCATGTTGTTGAGTGGGAGTCAAAAGAAAGAAAAGGTGATTTCCAAACGAAATGTTATTATAAGGCCAGAAGATGAAGATTTTCCAAATTTCTAGATGGCTGCCTCCTTATATAGACTGAGGGAATCAGAGATGAATCGAAAAGAGAACCATGTATGGAGACCTCCCTTAATCATTGGACATAAAGCACATTAAAAAACTACCTGTATAGATGGAGGCTTCACGAGCAGCCACAGGCATATTAGAAGTATTTGCCACTAGAGTAGTTCGCTTCATGACAGATTCTTCACGACCATCAGGCAATGTCATTGTTAATTGAGGAAAATCCATAAGCACCTGAGATAAGGGTTATCGAAATCATACACAATAATGTGAAACAGGCAACAAAAAGCTTTGGCAAATAATACGAAAAATACAGACCTCTGCCATTTCGTTCCCTCTTTCTCCACACCCAACATAAACCACCGTATCCGAATTAGAATACTGGAAGCGGTAAGAAGGATAAGTTCAAAAATATATAGAACAAAAGGGAGAAAACAAATTATATAACATTCAAATTTCCGAGAACTATCCAAATTAAATATCCGATAAAGTTACCTTTGAAAGTGCTTGACTAATAACTGTTTTACCACAACCAAAGGCTCCAGGTATAGCACAAGTGCCTCCAAGTACAGAAGGGAAAAGGGCATCAAGAACACGCTGAAGATGGTTATTAAAAACGTTAGGGATAGTAAGAACAGAAGCATTTCAAATCAAAAATAAAAAGAAGAAACTTGATCATTAATCCACCAAGGTTGAATCATCTATATTCACCTGTCCAGTCAGAAGAGGTGTATCCGCAGCAAGTTTTGATGCCACAGGCCTAGGTGTACGCACAGGCCAACTCTGCAGTGAAAATAAGATGGGTTTTAGTGCATTTTTTAGACCAAACTCCAAAGATAATAATTAAGTAGTTATGTACCTGAAGCATAGCAAAGTTCTTCTTGATACCTTGAAATTCCAGCTCAAGTACTGTATCCTGAAAACATTACATACCCATCATTACATAGTAATTCTCACCCAAAGTATAGAAATAAGACCTTCGGGAAGGTCGAAGGGTACAATAAGAGGAAGCAAACAAACTTAAACAGAATTTTCATATTAACCTGAATGCTATATTGACCAGCTGGGGCAATGTAACTAATTTTCCCCATAGAACCAGGAGGAAGAGCAACATGGTGTTGCATCAAAGTGTTCTCAAAAACAGTCTGCAGAACAAAGTAATTGACATTAGAAATAATGCAGGACTTAAAAAAGCATAAATTGCATTCCTCTACCATTGTTCTAAAAGGAAATACAATAGAGTCTATGAAAGTCCTTTAACACTTACAGCATATAAATCTCCACCAGTAACAAGATCCCCAACAGCTGGAAAAATTAAAGAAAGAATCAATCTTTTGAATTTGATGAACTAATGCTGGCTAAAATGGCTGGTCAAGTGTTAACTAACATACAATGGAAAAAAGAAAAGGACCAGAAGTTACCTAATTTTTTGGGCTCAAACTCCCACAGTGCATCCTTATCAAGTGCAGGAACAGAAACACCACGAGGGATATAGACATCACCAGACCTTATGGCAATAGTTTTCAGAGGTCTCTGTGTTGAGGAAGAGTGATAGGAAGGTGGTTAATAGTGGATAATATATTAGTATACTTTGAAATATAATAAAAAATGTAGACAGAAGTAGAAGAAAAGAAAAATCGTAATGCTCAAACAAACAAAGAATCAAAATTAAATAACTTTTTAATATTCTAGGTCCTTGACATGCAAAGAAAATTGAATTAGATCGTGATTTGCTTCTCTCGTCAAACTTCAATAGCAAGATACATTTCATAGCCATCATCTATTAGTTGTCTAGAACATGCTGAGAGTCAAGCAGATATAGTAGCCTGAGAGCTAGGGTTGTAACAAACCTGAATCCCGTCGAAGATATTGCCTAAAATCCCAGGTCCTAATTCAACTGAGAGAGGCTGCAAGAGAGAAGCAACTTTTTATACAATGGTATACCAGGACATCAGTATACTAACCAAACTGGCCAACGATTATAAATACCTTATGAGTTCTCAAGACTGGGTCATTCACCATCAACCCAGCTGTTTCTTCATAGACTGGAAACCAATAGTAACAAACAAATTAATATAAGCTCTCTTTATAAAATGAGAGGGCGCTAAAATAAAAATATAAATAAACATCGCGTAAAAAAAGTGTTACGAAATTTGCAGTCTAATTATGTGCTGAAATTTAATTAAAAAAAGAGTACCTTGAATGGTGGCTGAATCTCCCTCCAACCTAATGATCTCCCCTATGAGATTGTCGTGACCCACACGAACCAGTTCATACATAGCAGCACCCCCCATTCCATCTGCCACAACAACTGGCCCAGAAACCTATCCATCACACAAATTATAATTCATGATTATCATTGAAAAGCTTCAACAGAAATGTTTACATTTCCAAAGAAAAGACCCAGAGTTTAATATAAAGAAAACTAAGATGAGTGTTTTAGAACACTTAGAGAATCGAGAGAAGAAACGAACGGTATAAAATTTATGTACGTCTTCAATTCTTATTGGGCATTCGCATTTAGCACATGTTAGATGAAATTGACGAAAATCTGCCTGGGGAAACATGGATATCCATATGGTTCCTTTATCATGGATCATCCAGAATCTAGATTTACTTTGCCGGATGCGAAACAAAGTAAAACACAGATATGACTCATCCTTGTCATGATTCTGTTAATCTTTTTGGGGTTTTCTGCATAAAAATGTCATATTATGCCAGATATATTTTATTTGATCATCGGCACATAATTTTTTCCTTTTTACCTATTTCCTTAATTCAAGTAAGTCCAAGTCATAGACTCATAGCTAATTTATGAACCAAAAACTATACTAAATTAACGACTTTGATGTAGAACGTAGAAAATGACAGGTTTGAAGATTGAGAAGGTCAAGTATTATCATGTTACTGGTATATTCTGACTGTTTCAATCAAAGCCCACTTCAACAAAAAACTATAGGTAAATGGATCAGAATAAAGAAAAAAGCATCCAATTCTCAGTGTTAAATATAACAAATTAAGATTGCTGTGAGCTATAATAAGTTAGGGTTTTAATGCAATATACTAATATTAAGATAGTACTCAGCTATAATAAGCTAGGCTTTTATTGCAATATATTAGCACAGAGTTATAGCATACTTAGGAAAGACAACTTGTTCATGCAATACCAAAGAGAATATAAGGAGGCAGGATTAAGCATAAATATTGGAGGATCTATTTCCATCAACTCTACATACACACTTGAGGTCAAGATCCGAAATTTTTACGGATATAAACATGAAAACACAGGGTCAAGATCCGAAATTTTTTCACAACTCAATCAACAGAAAGAAGCTATACACGACTGAAATCCAATTCATTCTCTAGATGATAAGAATCTGAACTTTCAATTAACCTCTTAAAAAACCAGTAGATGATATTGGGAAATCTAACAAAACTTGAGTAAACTTCCCAGCGAAGTTAACTGAAGCTCAAATCTTAGGTCAGAAAACTTCAAATTTTTATGATCAGCTCAGCCAAAGTACCAAACCTTTTCAATTAACGTCTTAACTAAGCAGATCACAGTTCACAGTCAAAAAAAAGAAGATCACAGTTCACAGTCTCACCCCAAAAGAACCCTAGAATGCTAAAATCAGTAGATGTGAAGTAACATAACGAAAAAAAACCAAACAAAATTGAGCAAAATTAGCAGACAAGTTAATTGAAGTTCAAATCCAGGTAAAAAGCACCAAATTCTTATGATCAACTTAACTAAGCTCCAATCAATCGATCACTGATCGCGACAACAAAAAGATCGATAAAAAAAAAGAAAATCCAACTACCTTTCGAACGTATCCAAACTCGCTCTCCTTCTCAGAATCCTCGAACGTCGTCATTTGCTCTCCGTACGCCATCTTGATTCAGCAACAGAGACCGATCAAAGCGATGGATCGATCGAAGGAGACGAAACCTAGATCTGATCCGAGGACAAAAATGTAAATAATTGGGTTTCGCTCAACGATAGTTTTGATTCACGCCCGATGAGATATTTGAGAGTCGAGATGAGTACGGGTCTATTTTGGGAATTTATTATCAATTATTTATGTCCAGATATTTTTTTTTCTTTATTTTGCCAATCACGTGAGCCCCCATGGAGCTTCTGATGCTTTCTTGATAAGATATTTATATTGGAGGTTCTTATTGCATATATGCTGTGTTTATTTTATTTTTTTGATAATGTTTTGGTTAAAGCTTATTGACTTTTTGTCATGACACCTGGAGTCCTGGACTCGATTAATAAAAGAGTTTTTTAGGGAAAAATGTATTTAGACCCCTCAAAAATGAAGTGGGTGTGGCCTAGCCCCCAATAGTTTTTTCATTACTCTTTAACCCCAAAAACCAAAAATAAAACGTTCACCCCCCTTTTCACACTCTCCCAGAAAGTCATCCTAAAAAAACCCGAAAATACTTATTCTCTTATCTTCTTCTTCTTCTTCTTCTTCTTCTCAGTGGCTTTCTCCTCCTCTCAATATCCTCCCCCGTCTCAATATCCTCCTCCCCCTCCCCCTCCCCCTCCCTCTCCCAGTAGTGGTCCTCCACCGTCGCCCTCTACTTCGACCAGACCCAACGCCAACCTCACCCACGGCCGGGACCTCACCCGCCACTTCATCTAGCATGTCATCGCCGACTCCATCACGAGTTCTCAAAGAGAGGGATCCACCATGGCGAGCTCTGCATCATCTTTGAGGAATCTGTTAGTTTCTAATTCATTTCAATCTTTCAATACCATCTGCTCGAATTGTTCGATTTTCAGTAATTTATAGTAATTTATAGTAATTTGGTGAAATGGGTTTGGTTGAGAATTTGATGATTAAAGCTTGTTTCAGTGATTTTGGGTCATTGAAAGCTTGTTTGTTATTTTCGATCAACTGTGTTATTGAGAATTTGGGGGTATTTGATTGAATTCTTTCAGCTTCTTTTCTTTGACTAATTAGTCCAATATAGTAAAAGCTAATTTTTTTTAATCTCTTTCTTGTTTTGCAAAATTCGCTTACTTGATGCACTTCTTTCTCAATGTTTCTCATCTTTTTCATTTTAGAGCTGAAGTTCTCTTGCGGTGATTTTTTTTGTGGTTGCTAATAACACTTTGCTGCACAGATTCTTACTACGCTCACTGTTGTTGGTCAAATGAAAGAGCATTTTTACTCCACACAAGCGTACACTTCCAGGTTTGATAGGTTTCTCGATTTTAATCGTGTCTTTTGATATATAAAATCGGCTTTTATAGAAGATGACAAGTCATGATTTATTACTGATGCAAGAGAGATGATCCTGAGATCAAAGACTTATTTGATAATATTGAGAAAATGAGAGGAGAGTTTGCATCTATTGTAAGGCCAAGATTAGAGTTGGAGGCTCCTAAACCAGTAAAAAGCTCAGCAAAGGATTCATCTAAAGCCGATGATGCGAAAGATTGGCCTAACTCTAAAGGAAAGTGAATCACCAGAGCATGTTACAGCAAGAGGATACTCATTTTACCATGGAACTGACCTGTCTGAATTTGTTGATGCAAGTGGAGATTGGACTAATGAAGATATCTTAGGTTGGGAGTATGATGGTGATTTAATATAGGAAGTTCTAGTGATTTATAGTAGCAAGAAAAACTAGCCCATATTTTCATTGTTTGTACTCTTTATTATGATACTGTTTGTACTCTTTTTTCTTATGTAGTTTCTCCAGAATTGCTTGTAACGTGTCATGTTTCATTGTTCAGTTGATTATACTATGTGTTCTTTTGATTTGCTTGTACTTAGATTAAAATTTAATAAAATATATTGTGTCTATTTAGTGATCAATTTTTAATGAAATGTATATTAACTCTCCTCATAACATGTTAACTCTCCTAATAACATGTTAACTTTTCAAATAAACATGTTAACATTCATCATAATTTGTTAACTTTCACTGTTACGTGTTAACTTTCATAATAATATGTTAACTTTCTTCATAATATGTTAACCGTCAGCTGAACATGTTAACTTTTACCAGAACATGTTAACTATAATAGTTATTGTTGACTTTTAACTAAACGTGTTAACTTTTCTCCTAGTATGTTAACTTTTCATACTAAATGTTAACTTTCGCTGCTTTATGTTAACATTCAGTATGAAAAGTTAACATACTAGGAGGAAAGTTAACACGTTCAGTTAAAAGTCAACATACAGTATGAAAAGTTAACATACTAGGAGGAAAGTTAACACGTTCAGTTAAAAGTCAACATATAACTATTATAGTTAACATGTTCTGGTAAAAGTTAACAAGTTAACACGTTCAGTTAAAAGTCAACATATAACTATTATAGTTAACATGTTCTGGTAAAAGTTAACATGTTCAGCTGACAGTTAACATATTATGAAAAAAGTTAACATATTATTATGAAAGTTAACATGTAACAGTGAAAGTTAACAAATTATAATGAATGTTAACATGTTTATTTGAAAAGTTAACATGTTATTAGGAGAGTTAACATGTTATGAGGAGAGTTAACATACATTTCATTAAAAATTGATCACTAAATAGACAATATATTTTATTAAATTTTAATCTAAGTACAAGCAAATCACAAGAACACATAGTATAATCAACTGAACAATGAAACATGACACGTTACAAGCAATTCTGGAGAAACTACATAAGAAAAAAGAGTACAAACAGTATCATAATAAAGAGTACAAACAATGAAAATATGGGCTAGTTTTTCTTGCTACTATAAATCACTAGAACTTCCTATATTAAATCACCATCATACTCCCAACCTAAGATATCTTCATTAGTCCAATCTCCACTTGCATCAACAAATTCAGACAGGTCAGTTCCATGGTAAAATGAGTATCCTCTTGCTGTAACATGCTCTGGAGATTCACTTTCCTTTAGAGTTAGGCGAATCTTTCGCATCATCGGCTTTAGATGAATCCTTTGCTGAGCTTTTTACTGGTTTAGGAGCCTCCAACTCTAATCTTGGCCTTACAATAGATGCAAACTCTCCTCTCATTTTCTCAATATTATCAAATAAGTCTTTGATCTCAGGATCATCTCTCTTGCATCAGTAATAAATCATGACTTGTCATCTTCTATAAAAGCCGATTTTATATATCAAAAGACACGATTAAAATTGAGAAACCTATCAAACCTGGAAGTGTACGCTTGTGTGGAGTAAAAATGCTCTTTCATTTGACCAACAACAGTGAGCGTAGTAAGAATCTGTGCAGCAAAGTGTTATTAGCAACCACAAAAAAAATCACCGCAAGAGAACTTCAGCTCTAAAATGAAAAAGATGAGAAACATTGAGAAAGAAGTGCATCAAGTAAGCGAATTTTGCAAAACAAGAAAGAGATTAAAAAAAAAATTAGCTTTTACTATATTGGACTAATTAGTCAAAGAAAAGAAGCTGAAAGAATTCAATCAAATACCCCCAAATTCTCAATAACACAGTTGATCGAAAATAACAAACAAGCTTTCAATGACCCAAAATCACTGAAACAAGATTTAATCATCAAATTCTCAACCAACCCATTTCACCAAATTACTATAAATTACTGAAAATCGAACAATTCGAGCAGATGGTATTGAAAGATTGAAATGAATTAGAAACTAACAGATTCCTCATGTTAGATCTGAATCATAAAACTTGAGATCTAAAACCATAAGCCAATGATTAATTCGAAGAGATTAACAAGAATCAAAAGAGCGGAAGCTTATACCTGAATCCATAGATGAATCTTGAGATGGGTTTTGGATCTTCTAACCTTAGGGTTTTCTCTATAGCCGAATTTTCTCTTGAGATGGGGATTAAGAGAATTAGAGAGTGTAACCCTAGATTAGGGACCATAACCCCTTATTTATAGATGTTGTATTTTTATAATTTGGCCCCTCAACAAATCACAATTACAACCTGGTTTCTGCACATATAACCCCATAACTTATTTAAATACCCATTAACCCAACTTGATTGATCACTTTAGTGGGTTATCCTAAAAGATAGCAATATACATTGATTAATCATATATGCCCACAATTAGATTTATTAGATTTAATCCAACAATCTCCTACTTGGGCACCATATGATTCCTTAAATTGTGTATAACCTTATGAGCTCAAAATTGCTATCACTGAAAAGGTATTTCCGAACAATCTTGTCCATTGACTATATCAATATAGGATCAAAGCGGTCTTCGTCACATTTATCGTGACTCGACCCATCAATGGTCACATATACCAATACAATCAAACGACAAAGATCAATCATGGATGTGCAGCATGAAAATTACATGCAATGTGATCAGTACATGTCTATTTTCAACTGGTCCTCTTTAGTGAGGTCAAAACCAAACATAATGTAACAGAGTGTCTTAACTGAATACTTTATTCTGATCAGACAATACAACCAAACATAAAGCACCATAATTACAAACTCCCACTAAAACATAATATCCTCAAATAATATCACACCTATATGAGCAGTATGCTCATGAAAGACCTTGGGTGGCAATCCCTTAGTAAGAGAATCATCTATCATGGAGTTTGTCCCAATGTGCTCTATGGATATCTGTCCACTCTATACCCTTTCTTTCACAACCAGGAACTTAATGTCAATATGTTTTGACTTAGTTGAGTTCTTGTTGTTATTGGAATACATTACTGTAGATTTATTGTCACAATATAACCTTAGTGGTCTTTCCATATTTTCCAAAATGCGCAGTCCCGTGACAAAATTTCGCAGCCATATTCCCTGATTGGATGCCTCATAGCAAGCTACAAATTCTGCTGCCATAGTGGAGGAAGCTACTAGTGTTTGTTTGACACTTTTCCATGATATAGCTCCTCCTGCTAACATATAAATGTAGCCTGATGTAGACTTCCTGCTATCTTGGCATCCAGCAAAATCAGAGTCCGAATACCCAATGACCTCTAATTTCTCTGATTTTCTGTATGTGAGCATGTAATCTTTTGTTTTCTGAAGATACCTCATAACCCTTTTGACTGCTATCCAATGATCCATACCAGGG